CAACCTTCATAAAAAATGCACGGTTAAATATTATTTCAAAAATCTTTCACAGATATTCTTAGACCTCTTGTCTCTACAACATATCAAAAAATGAGCCAGATCTGACGACATCGATGGAACAGGTTCGGTCGTGGCTTACGTGGACTAACTCATATAGATACTAGCTAAATCTATTATGAGCATTTATCTACGCGCGTCACCGTGACGATGACGGTCTTCGGCATCCTTCTAATGAATTGCTCGTATTTTATCTACTTCCTACCAATACGATCTTTTTTACACTATGGTTTTTATTCAATTGTAATGCTTCATACAAGAACTCAAACGTTGAGAAAAAAGCGTTTCATGATTCTGATAAAGAAAGTTAGTGTTTCTCACAAAGACATAGGTGAGCAACACCCTCAAGATCATCACGAAGATCAGCAAGATAATCATCATCACGACGATCACGAGCATCACTAAGATAAGCAAGATAAGCATGACGATCATCATCATCATCATCACGAGCATCCTCAGCAAGATAAACAGCACGAAGATCATCAAGATAAGCAAGATAACGATCATCAGGATCAGCAACAGCAACAGCATCAGCAAGAGGATCAGCAGCAGTACAAGTTGCATCATCACGTTTCATCAAAAGCTTCCAGTCATCATCACACCAACGCTTCTTATCATCCCGGTTCCAATTTTTCCAATTGCAGACCCAATTCCATTGATGTTGATTACCCACAAAGTGCCAATCACGGCACTTGTTGCACTTGGCACAAGGACTACCCTCACAATTAAGTTTCTTGCATGCACCAGATGCAGCAAATTCTTGAGACTCTAAATAAAAATTTTAGGTTGTCACAAAAACATGCAAGGCAAAGGTGATTATTTTATTAAAAGTCTATCTAGAGGATCGAGGTAAACTCGAAATTAGTTCAGTAGTAGACCACAGAGTCGGTTGATGGGAAAATTATTCTCGTTTACAGAATGCAGATAATTGAAGTCACCTAAAAGCCGATAATAAAGAACTTTTCTCATCGTCTTATAGAACATGTTATAGATTTGAAAACTTGGTGAATTTAGAATCTTCGAGATATCCAAACTTTCTAAAATTGAATATAGAGTTCTTACTGTGCAACAATAAAAATTTCAGTTTAAATAGGCTCCGATATTTTTAGCATTAAGGAATTTGAAGTATCTAAAAATTTGAGAATCATCGACATCTTTTAATTATGAGAATTTTAAAATGCTAAAGAATAGTGAAATAGTAGTCTTATTTTAGATGTGGATGAAAGCACGACAATGATAATGTTTTGTTTTTATCTGAATGGTTTGTGACACACGCAGTAATAATCCTTCTCATTATCGAAGATTATTCGCTATGCTACTCGAGAGTAAGAGTGTGAGGCAATGCTGAATAGAATAGATATTCAACACTGTGATAGATCGCAGGAAAATGTGCAACGAAATGTTAGCCATAATCGTTTTATCATCATTCTCAATAGAGTCGATGTATTCTGTTAGTGTAAAAAATTTCCTTCATTGCAGGATTAATCTATGTATGTTCAACCGGGATGATGTGGCATGGAATATAGCACAAGCGCTAGGACCAATAAAGTGTTTTTTTAACGAAAATAAATATTATATTCTAAGCAACATTCTTGGTCTCAGCTACTCTACTTTCGTCTCTGGCATATTTGAAAGAAAGCAAACAATGTTATTGACATCTGAAAGAGTTCATAATGACAATAAAAGGTAGTCTAAATGTCCAGTGTGGATCTGAATAGTGATCCATGTGGTCTGAACCGAATCGAAAACCGCCGGTGAATTTCGGTTATTTTTTAAATTGGTGAGTTAACCGCGGTTTTTTCCTTTATTCTCAGAATTTTACTGGATAAGGACTGAAGGTTAACCGTCAGTCTTTATTCGGTAAAATCTTGAAAATAAAGGAAAGAACCGCGATTAACTCACCAGTTTAAAAAATAACCGGCGACTTTCGATCCGATTCGAATGACATGGAAAATTTTTCTTTAGTCAAACACTTAATTTTTAATTTGTCTTTTTGACAAAGAGACGCAGTAAAAACCCACCATAAAAACTAGCTTTTTGACAGACCGCACTAACTCATAGTAAGAAAGCTATAAGCTTAGAACAGGTGATCAGAAAAAATGAAAAATTGACGGACGTGATAGAATAAATAAATTCTCAGTATTCTGTTGATATCTTGGGCAATTGTCATTGTTAAGACTTAATCTTTTTTCCAGAAGATTCGCTATAAGATCCTGTATAAAATGATATAGTCTATTGGATCAATACGCTTTTGTTCGTTGCTGAAGCATAACTTCTCCGAACAATGATATTAGATAAAACTTAGTGATAGTGTAGGTTAATGTGTGGTTCTGGATGGTATGTCATTCCCTTTCTAACAACCATACCCATCTAAACTCAGACGGATGGTCCATCCACTCTCAAAGTTAAATTTGTTTTCTCGTTTCAAATATAGATCAATTTGCTAAATTCATCAAATACCCTACATTCACATCCTCAATAAATCCAATTTGATCATGTAGTCACTTGTTCAGTAAGGATGTTGGCGTGGATGTGTATGTGTGACAGAAAAGCAACACTCAAACCCACACTCTCATGTTGACATCCTATACTCCTGAGTTTTTACTCGTAGTTAATCATTAAAATAACTCTTTCGCTTCGTTAACCTTAATTTAGTCGTTTCATAGAAGTCTAGTCAATTTTCAATATTGACAAAGATGAATAAATAAACACTGGCGCATCCACAAAGTATCATTATTCTTAAAGTCCTTTAGGTATGATAGTTTTTGATTTTAACCCAACAAAAGTAATACTGGTAAAATTTTTTGACCTACCTGGAGTCGGCCCATCACCAATTTTACTAAATATAATTGATGTCTCATCAGTTGTATCCTGTGGAACTTTTGCTGATGGTCTCAATACATGGCCTTTGTATGTAGCCTGGTATTTTCCTTTGTCAGCTTTACCAAAAATCTTTTGTTTTAAGTCATCAATATCTGAATCAGGACCTATTTTGATTTTTTCTGAAGTGTTTTTGTCACATTGAACCCATACTTTAACCATGTTGACTGTAAATATTCTGTTAGCAAGAACGTAGGAGATTGTTTACAATCTTTTAATGCCTAGAAAAAGATAGTTTATACATTCGAAGAAGTATTTTATAAAATATTCTTTCAAAGAACTTTATATTTTTCTCGGGAATTCATACGTGAGCAACATATATCTCTTTTTAATAAGAATGGTTTTTTTTTCGAAACTCATGTTTCATCTTTAACGTTTCTCAAGCAAATGAGCAGATATCCTGAGATGTTACAGCTTGGTAGGTAAATGCTTTAGGATGAGAATGAGGGTCAGTGTCGGTGAGGATGTCAGTATGTAAGTAAGGATGTATAAGTATGGTGTGGATGAGGGATAGATGTGAGTGTATATGTGGGTGACAGTATAGGTATGGATGCAGTTGCGAGTATGAATGTCGCTGTGAGTGTAGTATATTTATCTTACCACGCTCACACCCACATCCTCAATATAGGGCCGATAAAATTTGAGTTTTCATTTTCAGAAAAAAATTGAAAAAAAAACAAATGGAGTAATTTATAAATATATGTCAAAAGTTATTCAGCTAATATTTAAATTTAGGTAAGCTATAATAGATTAAAGTTTCAGTTCAAACTATCCTCAGAGTAGAATGGTTGTGAGCGTGAGATGAGAGTGAATCAGAGTCAGTGGTGGGCGTAGTGATTGGTGATTCGACGACTGCCATCATCTGCAAATGCTTTTCTTTCATTTTTGTATCAAAAACCGCTGAAAAATATGTTGTACTACTTTTAATGTTTCAAAACTCAAATTTTCATCATGATTACGGCAACCTCTAACAAACTAGCACATCCTCATTGATATTCTGGATTCATTACTGACTAGAAGTTTAGATGTATAGTATGAGTGTTGGTGAGGATGTACGTGTACATGGAAGTGTGCCAGAGGTGAACACCCAGCCATTCTCACGCTCTATAAATGCGAGGGGATGTGCGACAACTTTGGATATCACTTTGGCTGTAAGCATAAATACCAATGAATGTAAGAGTTTAGATTTAAAAAATATTTTCTACCTTTCTCTTTCAGCACCGATTTCCTGAGTAGAGTCTAAGTCTTCCTACTCTCATCTCAACACGCACGCTCGTACCTGCAAAATATCTACTATCGGATGCTTAGTGATATATCTGCTTTTAGTATTTGGGTTTAGTAGATATATTTAGAAAATTTAGTATTAATACAGATGAGTTGACTAAGTATTTAACCCATTCGCCCCGATGTGAGCTACCGGTGGCTCACGGTATGTTCTAATGAGGGAAATGATACAAGAATCGATTTTTTCCCTTTTCTTCTCTCAGAAAAGAGTAATGGTAAGTCCTTCTTTTATTCAGTTCTGGGTAATGCTTCAATCATTTTATTATATAGAGAAATGCTTTT